CGAGAGTCTTAATTAACGAATTTGCTCGCGAGTTAATAGCACGCGACATCGGTAGCCACTTTCCGACCTGTTCCTCCGCTGGTAAACGACATTGTCGTCCCACGTGATAATAAATCAGGCGCGCCTCCCACCTTTGGCCATCATTCATAGCCGTTAGTTAACGTACGCGGGAACTACAATTATTTTAATGGTCCCTGTCTGCCGGCTGGGAATCCCATCTGGTTTACCTCTCGCGTGGCCATTGATGCCCGTGACATCGACCGACTGCTCCGACCCCATCGATAATCTCGCAGCTAGATAGAATTTATTGATAAAATGCTTACGCGCTCGCTCGCGCACGCATACCAAACCGCGTTTGCTAAATTAGTGTGTACATGCGTTGTTGCTATACACGTTGTTAGAAATTACAATAGTGCCCTCGTAACTGACCACAGTCGGGACCGAAAATGGACCCTTAACCTCTTGCGCTGGAATGACGTGCCACGCACTCGAGAATTTTTTGTCCCAAAAGAGCTAATATAATATAATATAAATATAATTAATATATTTAAATATAACTCAGGTAAAACAAGTAATAAATTTATTACTTGTTAGTAATAATTCCTATCCAGTAGTGTCATACCAAAGTCAAGAAGAAAGTGACGAATTATTGTATACGGTTTGGTCACTCGTTATGGTCCGCGAATCAGTTGCCAGCGCAAGGAGTTGACTCCTTCGAGAATTTTTTGTCCCAAAAGAGCTATATTTAAAAATATTTGAATATAATTAATATATTTAAATATAACTCAGGTAAAACAAGTAATAAATTTATTACTTGTTAGTAATAATTTCTATCCAATAGTGTCATACCAAGTTCAAGAAGAAAGTGACGAATTATTGTATACGGTTTGGTCACTCGTTATGGTCCGCGAATCAGTTGCCAGCGCAAGGAGTTGACTCCTTCGAGAATTTTTTGTCCCAAAAGAGCTATATTTAAAAATATTTGAATATAATTAATATATTTAAATATAACCCAGGTAAAACAAATAATAAATTTATTACTTGTTAGTAATAATTTCTTCGTTTATTAATTTAATTAATTCGTACTTGGGGATCAAAGTACGAATCGGAAAGGATATATATACAGGGTGTCCCGTATGAAGCTGTCCACGTAATAATTTTCTCTTGAACTCTATTCGCTATAGAGAAAAATAAAAGAGATAATTTTCAAATAAAACATATCTGTTGTTTCGAGGGGGACGTCTTATGGGAGCCACAAATCTTGTCTGCATGTGTCACGCTTCTGAGATTTTAAGGTGGAACACTTTCAAAAAAAAAACAAAATCGGGATGAATATCTTCTTCGATGTCATTAATGAAAGATCGTTCTCCACGCTGCAAAGAAGCATTCTCATTGCAACATTACAATGCAACAATGGCCTGTGTAGGTACACCGCTTTCGCCAAAGTCCCGACCAGGTTCTTTTAAATCAGAACCTAACCACTTCCGTCAATTGCCGCTTTCCGTTTTCGCTCTTCAGGAGAAGGGAGGCTGCACGTCAGATAACATCGATTATGTGCGCAACGTTAAACGCTTTCCCTCTTCAAAGCCCCGCGGAGTGAACTATTCTCCAGGCGCTTTTCATCGGTAGCCGGCCGAATTTCGAGCGCATTGAAACCTAACCTTAAAAGCGTATTCTTGCTGCCGTATAAG